TCTGATCTCTCTCTGGTCTCTCTCTGGTCTCCCTTTGGTTTCTCTGGTCTCGCTCTGGTCTCTCTCTCTGGTCTTTCTCTGGTCTCTCTCTGGTCTCTCTCTGGTCTCTCTCTGGTCTCTCTCTGGTCTCTCTCTGGTCTCTCTCTGGTCTCTCTCTCTGGTCTCTCTCTGGTTTCTCTTGTCTCTCTGGTCTCTCTCTGGTCTCTCTCTCTGGTCTCTCTCTGGTCTCTCTCTGGTCTCTCTCTAGTCTCTCTCTGGTCTCTCTCTGGTCTCTCTCTGGTCTCTCTCTGGTCTCTCTCTCTGGTCTCTCTCTGGTCTCTCTCTGGTCTCTCACTAGTCTCTTGTTAGTCTCTCTCTAGTATCTTTCTAGTCTCTCTCTGGTCTCTCTCTTGTTTCTCTTGTCTCTCTTGTCTCTCTCCGGTCTCTCTCTGGTCTTTCTCTGGTCACCCTCTGATCTCTCTCTGGTCTCTCTCTGGTCTCCCTTTGGTTTCTCTGGTCTCTCTCTGGTCTTTCTCTGGTCACCCTCTGATCTCTCTCTGGTCTCCCTTTGGTTTCTCTCTCTGGTCTCTCTCTGGTTTCTCTTGTCTCTCTGGTCTCTCTCTGGTCTCTCTCTCTGGTCTCTCTCTGGTCTCTCTCTGGTCTCTCACTAGTCTCTTGCTAGTCTCTCTCTAGTATCTTTCTAGTCTCTCTCTGGTCTCTCTCTTGTTTCTCTTGTCTCTCTTGTCTCTCTCCGGTCTCTCTCTGGTCTTTCTCTGGTCACCCTCTGATCTCTCTCTGGTCTCTCTCTGGTCTCCCTTTGGTTTCTCTGGTCTCTCTCTGGTCTCTCTCTGGTCTCTCTCTCTGGTCTCTCTCTGGTTTCTCTTGTCTCTCTGGTCTCTCTGGTCTCTCTGGTCTCTCTCTGGTCTCTCTCTGGTCTCTCTCTCTGGTCTCTCTCTGGTCTCTCTCTGGTCTCTCTCTGGTCTCTCACTAGTATCTTTCTAGTCTCTCTCTGGTCTCTCTCTTGTTTCTCTTGTCTCTCTTGTCTCTCTCCGGTCTCTCTCTGGTCTTTCTCTGGTCACCCTCTGATCTCTCTCTGGTCTCCCTTTGGTTTCTCTGGTCTCTCTCTGTTTTCTCTCTCTGGTCTCTCTCTGGTCTCTCTCTGGTCTCTCTCTGGTCTCTCTCTGGTCTCTCTCTGGTCTCTCTCTGGTCTCTCTCTGGTCTCTCTCTCTCTGGTCTCTGGTCTCTCTCTGGTCTCTCTCTGGTCTCTCTCTGGTCTCCCTCTGGTCTCCCTCTGTTGTCTCTCTGGTCTCTCTCTGGTCTCTCTCTGGTCTCTCACTAGTCTCTTGCTAGTCTCTTTCTAGTATCTTTCTGGTTTCTCTCTTGTCTCTCTATCGCTCTCCCTCTCTCTTCAGTCTCTCTCTGGCCTCTCTGTGGCCTCTCTCTCTCTCTCTCTCTCCGGTCTCTCTCTGGTCTCATTCTCAGATCTGTAGACCTAGGGCTGCAGACCGAGTGCTGAGGCGGTGTGGTGCTGGTCCTTGAGGGTGAGACAGCTGCTAATGCTTCCTGATCTAATGAGATGTTTCTCGAGTAAAGGGGAAAAACAGATGTTTACAAGACGTTTAAATCAATTCCCCCACGAACAGCAGTATTTCTGTCTGTGAGCTGGCAACAAGCACAGAGGCATTTTGGCTCAAATGATAAGAATAATATCTTGACTGTATAAGAGGAGTTGACTGACAGAGTGTGACATCACCATAGTAAGTAAGTAAGTAAGTAAGTTTTTATTTATATACCACCTTTTCACTGCAGATCTGAGTCTCAAAGTGGTTTACAATTGTTAATTTTTGGGTATTTGTCTCTCACTCCACACAGAGATGGGAGCGGGGTCGCCAGTACAGGAAGCGCATGCCAGAACTATTGGACATATTTTTAGTGGTAGGGGAAACCGGAGTACCCGGAGGAAACCTACGCAGACACGGGGAGAACATGCAAACTCCACTCAGAAAGGCCCTGGTCCGACCGGGATTCGAACCCAGGACCTTCTTGCTGAGAGGCAAGAGTGCTATCCACTCAGCCACCGTGCCGTGCCGCATAGTGTTAGCCTTAATGCAGAAGAATCCAAAAATGAACTAGCTCGGGCTTCAAACTAACATGTTGCTAGCATGGTTGCGAATGAAGGCATCTGATTGGTCAATATCATGGTCATGGATCAAATAAAGATCTATAAATACAACATAAAAATAAGCAAGATTTTATTCAAGCCCAAAATGGTGACTGAGCAAGAGGAGTTTACTTTCATATGTGAGTCAATAGGAGTTCAGCTGGAGCTAGACTTCACCATGAGCACTTCCCTGTTGGGCTTCATTGAGCTAGCGGATTAGCTTGTCCGTTTCTAAACAGTCTATAGCACGTAGAAATGAGCACATCAATGCCTTCCTGGCCTCTCCTCTGCGCTCACAGCCCTCTGCTGCGTTCTGTCTGATTATACTCCACATTAACGCTCCGGCTGTACTTCCTGCTGACCTCTGACCTTTCCCTTCTCTACTGCGCCTCATTAGCATGTTAACGAGGTGGCGCTATGCTAACAAAATCCCCGCAGCAGCCGAGGGTCACTCTACGCCGGGTGCTTTAATTGCTGCGTAGTTAATTATGAGGAGTATGTGCAGGGAGAGAGAGAGACAGAGAGAGAGTTGATAAAAGGTGAAACGAGAAGGCGGGGGGCGGGGTCAGGATTGTTCCGGAACTGTGCGTGTGGCCTTTGAAGCCACAGCTGGTTCTTTGGAAACGGTTGTAATGAAGTAAAAGTTGATCATCAGCAAATCGCAAAGGGCAGTGGCAGTGGGAGGTTTTTGAGTGTGTACGGGACGGAAGCAGGAACCTTTAAAAATAATAGTAATAATAGATGATACTTATATTGTGTTTTATGGACAGTCAAAGATGATTTACAAAGGGACAGGTTTAAAAGAAACGCAAATATGAAGCTAAAATTAACAGATATGTCGTGGCAGTTTTGAACATGTGGGTTTTGTGCAGTGATTTGAAGTTCCAGGCTCGGTCCTCAGGGTTCAGAAGTCTCGGTCCTCAGGGTTCAGAAGTCTCGGTCCTCAGGGTTCAGAAGTCTCGGTCCTCAGGGTTCAGAAGTCTCGGTCCCCAGGGTTCAGAAGTCTCGGTCCTCAGGGTTCAGAAGTCTCGGTCCTCAGGGTTCAGAAGTCTCAGTCCTCAGGGTTCAGAAGGCTCGGTCCTCTGGGTTCAGAAGTCTCGGTCCTCAGGGTTCAGAAGTCTCGGTCCTCAGGGTTCAGAAGTCTCGGTCCTCAGGGCTCAGAAGTCTCGGTCCTCAGGGTTCAGAAGTCTCGGTCCTCAGGGTTCAGAAGTCTCGGTCCTCAGGGTTCAGAAGTCTCGGTCCTCAGGGTTCAGAAGGCTCGGTTCTCAGGGTTCAGAAGTCTCGGTCCTCAGGGTTCAGAAGTCTCGGTCCTCAGGGCTCAGAAGTCTCGGTCCTCAGGGTTCAGAAGTCTCGGTCCTCAGGGTTCAGAAGTCTCGGTCCTCAGGGTTCAGAAGTCTCGGTCCTCAGGGTTCAGAAGTCTCGGTCCTCTGGGTTCAGAAGGCTCGGTCCTCAGGGCTCAGAAGGCTCGGTCCTCAGGGTTCAGAAGTCTCAGTCCTCAGGGTTCAGAAGTCTCGGTCCTCAGGGTTCAGAAGTCTCGGTCCTCAGGGTTCAGAAGTCTCAGTCCTCAGGGTTCAGAAGTCTCGGTCTCAGAAGTCTCGGTCCTCAGGGTTCAGAAGTCTCGGTCCTCAGGGTTCAGAAGTCTCGGTCCTCAGGGTTCAGAAGTCTCGGTCCTCAGGGCTCAGAAGGCTCGGTCCTCAGGGTTCAGAAGTCTCGGTCCTCAGGGCTCAGAAGTCTCAGTCCTCAGGGTTCAGAAGTCTCGGTCCTCAGGGTTCAGAAGGCTCGGTCCTCAGGGCTCAGAAGGCTCGGTCCTCAGGGTTCAGAAGTCTCGGTCCTCAGGGTTCAGAAGTGTCGGTCCTCTGGGTTCAGAAGTCTCGGTCCTCTGGGTTCAGAAGTCTCGGTCCTCTGGGTTCAGAAGTCTCGGTCCTCAGGGTTCAGAAGGCTCGTTCCTCAGGGCTCAGAAGTCTCGGTCCTCAGGGTTCAGAAGTCTCAGTCCTTAGGGTTCAGAAGTCTCGGTCCTCAGGGTTCAGAAGTCTCAGTCCTTAGGGTTCAGAAGTCTCGGTCCTCAGGGTTCAGAAGTCTCGGTCCTCAGGGTTCAGAAGTCTCGGTCCTCAGGGTTCAGAAGTCTCGGTCCTCTGGGTTCAGAAGGCTCGGTCCTCAGGGCTCAGAAGGCTCGGTCCTCAGGGTTCAGAAGGCTCGGTCCTCAGGGTTCAAGGGCTCAATGGGCAAGAATCTGGTGCCAAATGTGTGTGTAGAAATGACCCAGCAACCAAAGAGGGAATCTGGTTTGTTCTCGCTAGCACTACTTTGGGGCCAAAGTAGATTACTGTGAAAGAAGTCTCCTGATTGGTCAGTTGTTAAGGGTCATGACTGGATTTCCAAAAATATTGTCAAAACATAAGTGCCAGGATCAAAGAGAGGTCCTGCCTGGTACATGCCTCAGTCCTGGAGTTCTGGATAATGGTCTGGTTTGTGATTGTTGCATTTCCTGTTTTCGAACTGTTTGATTCTCTGATAATCAAGACACCGCTGCTGTGGTGATCTAGGACAGATAGATTGAATTGAACTGACATCTTGTTACAGCTAATGCAATCTTGATAACACGACGCATTATCATCTCCTCTTTGTCTTTTCTGTTCTGAATATTGGATGCAAAGAGTTATTCCCCCCCTTCCCTCCCTCTCTTCCCTCCCCCCTTCCCTCCCTCCCCCTTTGGCCATCAGCTCCGTACCTGGCTCACGGCCCAGGGCTGAGCTCCAGGCTGCATGTATCCTCCATTCGACACGGCTCCACTGCCCGCGGCAAACTGACCCGGGAACACTGTGGAGGAGAGAAGAGAGCTTCATTAATGTTTCTCTTCACCGACAACAGCTCCACAGAGCGCTACCGCTGCTCCTGTGTCAGGCTCACGTGAAAAGTTCATGATAAGATTTAAAGCTAAGAGACACAGCTCTCTGTCTCTCTCTGTCTCCCTCTGTGTGTCTCTCTCTCTGTATGTCTCTCTCTCTGTCTCTCTCTGTCTCTCTCTCTGTCTCTCTCTCTCTGTCTCTGTCTCTCTCTGTCTCTGTCTCTCTCGGTGTCTCTCTCTGTCTCTCACTGTCTTTCTCTGTCTCTCTCTGTCTCTCTCTGTCTCTGTATCTCTCTGTCTCTCTCTGTCTCTCTCTGTCTCTGTATCTCTCTGTCTCTCTCTGTCTCTCTCTGTGTATCTCTCTGTCTCTCTCTGTCTCTCTCTGTGTCTGTCTCTCTCTGTGTCTCTCTGTGTCTCTCTCTGTGTCTCTCTCTGTCTCTCTCTGTCTCTCTCTGTGTATCTCTCTGTCTCTCTGTGTCTCTTGCTGTCTCTCTCTGTCTCTCTCTGTGTATCTCTCTGTCTCTCTGTGTCTCTCTCTGTGTCTCTCTGTGTCTCTCTCTGTGTCTCTCTCTCTGTGTCTCTCTCTGTCTCTCTCTGTGTCTCTCTGTCTCTCTCTCTGTTTTCTCTGTGTCTCTGTGCCTCTCTCTGTCTCTCTCTGTCTCTCTCTGTCTCTCTCTGTCTCTCTCTGTCTCTCTCTGTGTCTCTCTGTCTCTCTCTCTGTTTTCTCTGTGTCTCTGTGCCTCTCTCTGTGTCTCTCTCTGTCTCTCTCTGTGTCTCTCTGTGTCTCTCTCTGTGCCTCTCTCTGTCTCTCTCTGTCTCTCTCTGTCTCTCTCTGTCTCTCTCTGTGTCTCTCTGTCTCTCTCTCTGTTTTCTCTGTGTCTCTGTGCCTCTCTCTGTGTCTCTCTCTGTCTCTCTCTGTCTCTCTCTGTCTCTCTCTGTGTCTCTCTGTCTCTCTCTCTGTTTTCTCTGTGTCTCTGTGCCTCTCTCTGTCTCTCTCTCTGTTGCTTGTATGACATCAAAAATATTCAATGAAATAGCAGAATGTATGTTCTGCTTATTCCTCTACTGTATCTGACTTTAGTTGTTGTTCTCGTTCCTCTGACTCCGTCTGTCACTGCTTTTATTTCATCTTTATGACGTGACAAAGTCCATATGTTTAACTTCTAAAATTCACAATCATTTAGAAAGAACAGCCTTGTGCTTCTTCGCTCTTGGCTTCAGTTGAGCCAAACCCCACCTTTGCTTTTCTCACCTCCGTGAAAAACACATTTTGCAGATGAAATATTCAACAGTTCAGCTTTTAGCAGACGAAGAGAGAGAGAGCTTTTATTCTGCCTTTAATCAAACACAGATTAGCATACATTAGCTAAGACAAGTTACAAACACAGCACTCATAAACAACACTTTTCGAAGCTAAAACATTTCGAATCCGATGTCTGCGAATGTGGAGAGTTACCTTGTCCTGTGGCCACCTGTGGCTGTGGCGCCCCCGCTGGCTGGCTGCTGTACAACGACAGGATGGAGTCTTTGGACATGAGCTTCTTCTCCTCAGGCCTCGGAGCTGGAGAGGTGGAGCCAGGGGGCGCTGTTTCCCCACCGGGCTGAGACAAAACACAGACACACACCGTTGGTATTCACATATTTTACAGAATAGGATGTAAAACCGTTCTGTGGACTATAACGTTTCAGTGTGAGGGTCTAAAACATGTGATTGTTTTGGCCCCGGTCCTCGTTCTACAGCCTGAGTCCATGGATCCCAAGATTTCTCAATTATCTCCCACTGGGTTTGTTCCTTGCTGATGCAGTGATACTGATCCAGGACACTCGACATTCAAAGACATGTACATTTATCAACATTTATTGACATTTTTGAACATTTATGGACATTGGTCATCTGCCCCTTATGCCCCAATGACTAAGTGATTTTTTACCATTGCATTTCCTGTGTTTGAACCATACCCTGTAAACATTAACGGACATAGTGACGCCTATTTTCTCCGTTGAAATGTATGTGTGATCAACATAGCCCGTCCCGCAGCACAATGGTGAAAAAACGTTTTTGCACTATTTTGTGTTAGATGGATCCAGCCTGACCTGACACACGGCTGAATAAATGAGTTAATTCAAAAGTCCACAGCGGCTGAACTTGGCTGGTCCAAAAATAAAAAAAACATCCCCTCGGCATTGACAGCATCTGGAACATAGCAGTGAGCCAAGAGCTGACTTTTGGACCAGGCTGTGAAGCGTTTTTGAGAGGGGAAAAAGCAACAATAGAATTCAATGAATACCACCGGAAAGTAGTCAGATTACAAACATGTCAGCGCACCTGCTCATTGTTGATGGCTCACTGTTTGAATTTTGGATCTGTGTTGGCAAATCAAGGTTTTTTTCAAAGTCCTCCGAGATTACAGCTGTTGTGATTTAAGGCAATACACAACTACCCTACAATTAAGAGAATTTTGTATAAAAACGGTATAAAACTTTCACTACTGGAGAGACAGTATCTCTCAGCTGGACTAGGAAGAGGCTTGAAATGTAGATCCGCATGGTCTCCCATCACAGTGCTAACCAGAACCTTCCCTGCCTAGCTCCCAAGGCCTGACAGGATCTGGCTTTTCCTGCTCCGAACATATATAGACAAGAAAAGAAAACCTGCATGGTCAAATTCTTTTCAAACCAATCTTAAATCCATTAGTTTGACTGTAGTGGCGTTATTCTAATGGATTTTAAAGTCTTCTCCAGAGAAATATTGACAGAATGGTATATTAGTCTCATCTCCTGAAGGTAAAGTGCGATCTCTGGCCCCATCCGTCCAGGAGAGCTGCTGCCGTTTTACAATCTGCTCCACACTTAAAATAAAGTGAGTTTGTTCGGAGACAAGGTCGCTGCTGAGAGGAGTAATGATGTCGCAAACTGGAACGTATAAAAGCAGAGGATTTAGACAAAGCAAAAGAAAAGGAGATTTTTTCAGCGGATCAAGTCACAGGAATGTTTTGTGAGGAACAAAAAGACCCTAATCAGACTCGGACCTGGATCTACAGCCTCAGTCCTGGGTCTACAGCCTCAGTCCTGGATCTACAGCCTCAGTCCTGGGTCTACAGCCTCAGTCCTGGATCTACAGCCTCAGTCATGGATCTACAGCCTCAGTCCTGGGTCTACAGCCTCAGTCCTGGATCTACAGCCTCAGTCCTGGGTCTACAGCCTCAGTCCTGGGTCTACAGCCTCAGTCATGGATCTACAGCCTCAGTCCTGGGTCTACAGCCTCAGTCCTGGGTCTACAGCCTCAGTCATGGATCTACAGCCTCAGTCCTGGGTCTACAGCCTCAGTCCTGGATCTACAGCCTCAGTCCTGGGTCTACAGCCTCAGTCCTGGGTCTACAGCCTCAGTCCTGGATCTACAGCCTCAGTCCTGGGTCTACAGCCTCAGTCCTGGGTCTACAGCCTCAGTCCTGGACCTACAGCCTCAGTCCTGGGTCTACAGCCTCAGTCCTGGGTCTACAGCCTCAGTCCTGGGTCTACAGCCTCAGTCCTGGGTCTACAGCCTCAGTCCTGGGTCTACAGCCTCAGTCCTGGGTCTACAGCCTCAGTCCTGGGTCTACAGCTCTCAGTCCTGGACCTACAGCCTCAGTCCTGGGTCTACAGCCTCAGTCCTGGATCTACAGCCTCAGTCCTGGGTCTACAGCCTCAGTCCTGGGTCTACAGCCTCAGTCCTGGACCTACAGCCTCAGTCCTGGGTCTACAGCCTCAGTCCTGGGTCTACAGCCTCAGTCCTGGGTCTACAGCCTCAGTCCTGGGTCTACAGCCTCAGTCATGGATCTACAGCCTCAGTCCTGGGTCTACAGTCTCAGTCCTGGATCTACAGCCTCAGTCCTGGGTCTACAGCCTCAGTCCTGGGTCTACAGCCTCAGTCCTGGATCTACAGCCTCAGTCCTGGATCTACAGCCTCAGTCCTGGGTCTACAGCCTCAGTCCTGGGTCTACAGCCTCAGTTCTGGGTCTACAGCCTCAGTCATGGATCAACAGCCTCAGTCCTGGGTCTACAGACTTGGTCCTGGATCTATAGCCTCAGTCCTGGATCTACAGCCTCAGTCCTGGATCTACAGCCTCAGTCCTGGATCTACAGCCTCGGCCCTGGGTCTACAGCCTCAGTCATGGATCTACAGCCTCAGTCCTGGGTCTACAGCCTCAGTCCTGGGTCTACAGCCTCAGTCCTGGGTCTACAGACTCGGTCCTGGATCTATAGCCTCAGTCCTGGATCTACAGCCTCAGTCCTGGATCTACAGCCTCGGTCCTGGATCTACAGCCTCGGTCCTGGATCTACAGCCTCGGTCCTGGATCAACAGCCTCAGTCCTGGGTCTACAGCCTCGGTCCTGGGTCTACAGCCTCAGTTCTGGGTCTACAGCCTCAGTCATGGATCTACAGCCTCAGTCCTGGGTCTACAGACTCGGTCCTGGATCTATAGCCTCAGTCCTGGATCTACAGCCTCAGTCCTGGATCTACAGCCTCAGTCCTGGATCTACAGCCTCAGTCCTGGATCTAGAGCCTCGATCCTGGATCTACAGCTTCAGTCCTGGATCTACAGCCTCAGTCCTGGATCTACTCTACGCTACAATTTCAATTCAGTGTATTTGTGAATCAAACAGTTCAAACACAGGAAATGCAATAATAACAAACACATCGGAGTCATTGGTTCAAAGGGAGCGGAACGACCACGGTTCACAAATGTCTCTGTCACTCAAAACCCAGTGGGAGACCATGTGAGAAACCTCTGGGGCACACTGAGGCCCTTTGAAGCGGCTCGTCCAATCAGAGAGCAGCACGAAGCTCTCTTTTGGAGTTTTGCAGAAGTGAAGCGCGGTGAGTATGAGGACAAGGACAAACATGAGGCGGAGGCACAAACACAAGGCTGTCTTGTCTAGTCACTCTTCTCTCTGTCTAGTCTGTCTCTGGTCTCTCGCTGGTCTCTCTCTGGTCTCTCGCTTGTCTCTTTCTCAGGTCTCTCTCTCTAGTCTCCGTCTAGTCTCTCTAGTCTCTCTCTAGTCTCTCTAGTCTCTCTATGGTCTCTGTCAGGTCTCTCTCTGGTGTCTCTATCTGGTCTCCGTCTAGTCTCTCTCTGGTCTCTCTCTGGTCTCTCTCTGGTCTCTCTCTGGTCTCTCTCTTGTCTCTCTCTTGTCTCTCTCTTGTCTCTCTCTGGTTTCTCTCTAGTCTCTCTCTAGTCTCTCTCTTGTCTCTCTCTTGTCTCTCTCTGGTTTCTCTCTTGTCTCTCTCTGGTTTCTCTCTTGTCTCTCTCTTGTCTCTCTCTTGTCTCTCTCTTGTCTCTCTCTTGTCTCTCTCTTGTCTCTCTCTTGTCTCTCTCTAGTCTCTCTCTAGTCTCTCTCTTGTCTCTCTCTAGTCTCTCTCTAGTCTCTCTCTTGTCTCTCTCTTGTATCTCTCTTGTATCTCTCTGGTTTCTCTCTTGTCTCTCTCTTGTCTCTCTCTGGTTTCTCTCTTGTCTCTCTCTTGTCTCTCTCTTGTCTCTCTCTCTAGTCTCTCTCTAGTCTCTCTCCTGTCTCTCTCTAGTCTCTCTCTTGTCTCTCTCTTGTCTCTCTCTTGTATCTCTCTGGTTTCTCTCTGGTCGAATACGAGGCCGGAGCTTCTCTGGGGACGCTCCTCAATCGCAGCCAGTCTGAGGTGAAGCAGCGCGAGCTAATAATAACACAGTACATTAGCATTAGCATTAGCTTGAGCCTGAGACAAACGGACGAAAGATGTACTCGCAGCCTGGTTCCAGAGAGAGAGAGAGAGAGAGAGAGACCCCTCCACAGTCCCTCAGTCTGACTGTAAACAAGCAGTTAAAGAAATGTGCTTCTATGTTGGATCTAAAGCAACAAATCCCAGTAGAACTTTCCATTTTATTAAGTTCAGAGTTGTTCAGAGGGACCGTATGTCTCCTTTAAGTCCTGGTTTGACTCTGGAGACGGACAGAACGACTCTAGTTTCAGAATCAATCAGGGCCATATTTGAAGAAGCATTTAACATTTAAAAGCAAAACCGTAATCTCTGTGTGTGTGTGTGTGTGTCTGTGTGTGTGTGTGTGTGTGTGTGTGTGTGTGTGTGTGTGTGTGTGTGTGTATGTCTGTGTCTCTCTGTGTGTGTTTGTGTCTCTCTCTCTCTGTGTGTGTCAATCTGTGTGTGCGTGTGTCCGTGTCTCTCTGTGTGTGTGTGTGTGTGTGTCTGTGTGTCTCTCTCCCCCTATCTCTCTCTGTGTCAGTGTGTGTGTGTGTGTGTGTGTGTGTGTGTTTGTGTGTTTCTGTGTGTGTGTGTCTGTGTTTCCGTGTGTCTGTCTCTGTGTGTGTGTGTGTGTCCATGTGTCTATGTGTGTGTGCGTGTGTTTGTGTGTGTCTCTCTCTCTCCATGTGTATGTGTGTGTCTTTATGTAAGCCTGTGTGTGTGTGTCTCTCTCTATCTCTGTGTGTGTCTGCCTCTGTTTGTGTGTGTCTATGTAAGCCTGTGTGTGTGTGTCTCAGGGCCAGAGTAGATAACAGCCATGATTCTGAGTCAAAGATAGTGAAGGAGAAGCCAGCGGCCGGACTCTTAATCACTTCCACAGAACTTTTTTTTTCCGTCGAGAGAAAAGTCCAACGGCAAAAAGACAAACTGGAAATAACCCAGAGACGAGTCGTGGAAAAGTCACGAAAGAAGAAATCCAATTCCAATCAGCCACAAGAGCCTGAACGAAAACTACGACATCATAAATTAGTCTTGTTTAGTCCTGACTCTGGGACCAGCAGGAGGCCAGTCCCTGTGCTCCTCAGAGTCGGTTCATATGGCACTAACAAGTCACAGATGGACTGTCCCACCTCTAAAATAGTCTCCCACCCAGGAGCTTCTTGTTGAGAATGGAGAGGGCTAACCACTCAGCCACCGAGCGCCTACTCACTCTGCAACCATTAACCTGAGACTGAAACAGGAGCAGGCTGCCTCGGGGTTCAGTCCACATGGAAACATTGTGTAGGACATGGAGCGGACATACACACACACACACACACAAACGCACACACACACACACACGATCGATGCTGCGACCTCCTGGTGACGAGCCCAATGCAAACAGCAGCATGTGTAAATACCACCGGTACAGTTCCTATCGATTGGTCTGTGATATTCCCAGCACAAACAGACCTCCCCTCCTCCTCCTCCTCCTCTGCCTCTTCACTCTTCCTCTCTTCGTTAAGGCCACAGTCTGCGTTCTACCGTCTGTCCTATTGCTTTGGTCCCTCGTTAGCGGCACACAGGAGCAGAGCAGGAGGAGTCTAGAAGCCCCCAGCCCAAAACAAGGGCTCACTCCTGTCTCTCTCTGTGGGTAAAGACATGAAAAAGGCAGCTGTTGTTGTTTGCTTTTTGTAAAAGGCTGGAGTGCATGGTCAGAGGGTCCAGGACTGAAACACAGAAGGCTCCTCTCTGTCCGGGTGTGACATCACCATAGTGTTAGCCTAAATGAGGACGAGGTAGATTTGATCACAAGCTAACTGCAGCCTTTTCTGTTGTATGCATTTACAGAGACAGATCAGAGAATAAAACAGTTCGAACACAGGAAATGCAATGACAAAACACTCAATTAACATCAAATAGTTATAAGTGTATAAGTCATTAACTGAATATACTTATTATTATTATTATTATTATTTCTCTGTAATGTTGGATAATCGCAACCTCCTGTCAGTCTGTGCTTGGACCACTCATTGTTATTTGTGTTTGAAGAGTGTGTGTGTGTGTGTGTGTGTGTGTGTGGAGCGTGGACACGGGAAACATTTGAAATTCAAAGATGGCGGCGATGCATAATTCATGTAAACATATTTGTTTACATTTCATTTCTGTGATTTGTTCATGAAGCTGCAAAAACTGGACTCAAAGAACGGACTCATGTAACTACTCTACTCTACTCTACTCTACTCTACTCTACTCTACTCTACTCTACTCTACTCAAGATGGTGTTAAAGTTCCAACAAAAAGAGATTGGCCAGAGTGCTGCCAGAAGCCATGGTTACCAAGGAATTTACCAGGAGACCAGAAAAACAAAACAGAGAAAGAGAGACCAGTAGCTCAGTTGGTAGAGCATTGGCTTTCGACTCCCACTGTCTGCTGTCGTTGTGTCCTTGGCAAGACACTTAACCTCTGGGAACACCAGGTGCCACAGTGGGGCGGCTGTAAAGTGCCAAACTGCCGTTGGGTCCTTAGGCAAGACACTTCACCCCCATTGCCTAGAATGAGTGTGGTGTGTGTGTGAATGGTTGGTGGTGGGAGGGGCACATACTGGTTGCCTCGCTTCTGTCAGTGTGCCCCAGGGCAGCTGTGGCTACAGTAGTAGTTTATCACCACCGTGTTTGGAGTGAAAGAATGACACATGTGAAGCGTCTTTGAGTGTCCAGAAAAGCGCTATTTAAAACCGATGCATTATCATTATTATTATTACCAGAGAAAAAAATACGGAAAGACCAGAGAGAGAGAGAGAGAGAGACCAGCGAGAGAGACCAGAGAGAGAGAATAGAGAGATAGAGAGAGACCAGAGTGAGAAAAGAGAGAGAGTCCAGAGTGAGATACCAGAGAGATACCACAGATAGAGGGACCCTCTGTCTGTGGTATATCTCCAGTATACCATACTGGAACGAAAAAGACAGACCACTCTACTCTACTCTTTTCTACTCTACTCTACCCTATCCTACTCTACTCTACTCTACCCTTCTCTGTCCTACTCTATCCTACCCTACCCTACTCTACCCTACCCTACCCTACTCTACTCTACCCTACTCTACTCTACCCTACCCTACTCTACCCTACCCTACTCTACTCCTCATTGAGTCCACTTTCACTTCTGCGATGAAGTAACTGGTCTGGCTGTCTGAAAGTTAAGTCTCCACCATCATCGCAAACTTTACCCAGGAAGCAGAGCCTGGCGGACTGATGGCCCCCTCCTGAATCCAAAACAAACAAACTCAGTCTTCTCTCCGGTCGTGAGCGGAGACCATTCCTCTGCTCCGTAATGAGACGCTGTTTGGGCTTCACACCTGCAGAGTCCCACAGGGGGAGAGGGAGAGGGAGAGGGAGAGGAAACGCTCCAAATGCTCTTTCTGCACTGAAACTCTGCAAACAGCCTCCTCCAGAGACGGCTGCATCCACTCACAGATACACAAATAGATACACACAGATACATACACAGAGAAAATATTCGCCACTTCTCAGGCTGACGATTCTGATGGATTCGAGGTAAAGCATTCCTTGTTTCAGGGACATTCTATGGACTTAAAATCAAGAACTTCAGACCAGGATTGTGTCACCACTAAAGTGAGAGTGGGAGAAGTCTGGAACCAGCACTGTCCTTTCGTCTCTACTGCCGTATCTGTCATTGTTATGGCTTTAGCTGGAGTCTGTTCATTGCTATTCACCCCCTGTCCCCGCTGTCTGTGTCGTGGCGTGAAGATGGTTCCCTGGGTCTGCCTTTCACAGACCAGAGTCACAAAGCGGTTTATAATTATGGGCAATTGTCTCCCACTCCACAAGGTCGCCGGTACAGGAGGCGCATGCCAGACCTATTGTTCATGTGTTTATTGGTAGGGAAAACCGGGACACGGAGAGAACATTCAAACTCCACTCAAAAAAGGCCCTGTTCCGACCGGGATTGGAACCTTCTTGCTGAGAAGTGAGAGTGCTATCCACTCCGCCACCGTGCCGCCCTACAGCCTCTACAGCCTCAGTCCTGGATCTACAGCCTCAGTCCTGGATCTACAGCCTCAGTCCTGGGTCTACAGCCTAAATCCTGGGTCTACAGCATCAGTCCTGGGTCTACAGCCTCAGTCCTGGGTCTACAGTCTCAGTCTTGGGTCTACAGCCTACTGAGCACAAGACATTCATTTGAATTGGACGCCATCTTGGATCACTGGGGCTTGGATCTTATACCACATTTTTTAGCTTCTCATCTGATTATATTAAATTAAATTCTATTTGTTCTTGGTCCTTCCTCAAGTGGAGGAGTTCAAGTATCTCGGGGTCTTGTTCACGAGCGAGGGAAGGATGGAGCGTGAGATTGACAGGCGGATCGGTGCAGCGTGCGCAGTGATGCGGTCGCTGTATCGGACCGTTGTGGTGAAGAGGGAGCTGAGCCGAAAGGCAAAGCTCTCGATTTACCGGTCAATCTTCGTTCCCTCCCAACCTATGGTCATGAGCTTTGGGTAGTGACCGAAGTAACGAGATCGCGCATACAAGCGGTCGAAATGAGCTTCCTCCGCAGAGTGGCTGCTCCCTTAGAGATAGGGTGAGGAGCTCGGTCACACGGGAGGAGCTCGGAGTAGAGCCGCTGCTTCTCCACGTCGAGAGGAACCAGTTGAGGTGGCTCGGGCATCTGTTCAGGATGCCTCCTGGACGCCTCCCTGGGGAGGTGTTCCGGGCACGTCCCACCGGGAGGAGGCCCCGGGGAAGACCCATAACACGCTGGAGGGACTCCAGCCAGCTGTCTCTCAGCTGGCCTGGGAACGCCTTGGGGTCTCCCTGGATGAGCTGGAGGAAGTGTGTGGATAGGGAAGTCTGGGCGTCTCTGCTTAGACTGCTGCCCCCGCGACCCGGCAACGGATTAAGCGGAAGAAAATTGATTGTTCTTGTATAACCCTAAATAACAACAGTAACACAGGAAATACAAGAATAAAAGACCAGAGACAGAAACACAGAGACAGAAGCAGAAACACAGAAACAGAAACACAGAGACACAGACACAGAAACACAGAGACAGAAGCAGAAACACAGAGACAGAAACACAGAGACACAGACACAGAAACACAGAGACAGAGACACAGAGACACAGAGACAGAGACACAGAGACAGAGACACAGAGACAGAGAGACAGAGACAGAGACACAGAGACAGAGACACAGAGACAGAGACACAGAGACACAGAGACACAGAGACAGAAACAGCGTGTACCGTAGCCTCATGAATTAATCGTGAGTCTGAGCCTGATGCATGTGTTTGTGCAGCACTGATGGAGAAAAGGGAGGTGCAAAGGAGGACAGCAGAGAGTGAGGCTGGGGGGGAGTCAGAGGGGGGAGAGGGGGGAGGGGGGTACAGTGGAAATGCATTAAGTGTCTGTGTCAGCGCTACACTCCTGCTGCGAGAGGCCTACAGCTCTGAGCTCAGACCTAAACAGAAAATCACTTATTTACCTCTAGTCGCATCGAAAGGTTTGAAAGAGAAAGAGACCAGAGGAGACTGAGGGAGACCAGAGGAGGTCGGGGCAGACCAGAGGAGACCAGAGGAGACTGAGGGAGACCAGAGGAAGCCGGAGGAGACCGAGGGAGACCAGAGGAGGCCGGAGGAGACCAGAGGAGACCGAGGGAGACCGAGGGAGACCAGAGGAGGCCGGAGGAGACCAGAGGAGGCCGGAGGAGACCAGAGGAGGCCGGAGGAGACCAGAGGAGACCAGAGGAGACTGAGGGAGACCAGGAGAGACCAGGGTAGACCAGGGGAGACCAGAGCAGACCAGAAGAGACCGAGGGGGACCAGTGGAGGCCCAGGGAGACCAGGAAAGACCGAGGGAGACCAGGGGAGACAAGACGAGACAGAGGGAGACAGAGGGAGACAGGGCAAGGCAAGGGGAGACCGAGGGAGACAAGAGGGGACCAGGGGAAACCAGGGGGGACATGATGGCTAATCATATTGTGTGTCTGTGTGTGTGTCTCTGTGTGTACAAAATACATAGACTTTGGAGCAGACGGATCAATGCATATGCAGATAGAAACAAAACTACAAAAATTGCACACTTTCTTTCTTTCTTTCTTTATTGTTTATTGAAACAGGGACAGTGTACAATACCATTAGTCTTTACAAAAGAAGAGATGATTTGTACCAGATTTAGCAAAGTAGCTATTTTCCATCTGCAGTCCCTGGACAGGTGAGTACAAAAAACATTACAATCTATAAATCTAATCTACAATAAAATCACTATATAAAATACATTAGTTTTCTGTACACTTCTAAAAAAAACATATAAACAATCCCCACAGTTTACAATACATTCATCAATGCTGACACGATTGATGATCTAAAATATACTTTTTTCAAATTTCGAGTAAAACTATTATGATCTACAGACAGTTTCAGACAGTCTGGAAGCTCATTCCACTGTTTAATGGAGAGAAATGAGAAGGCACATTGTGCAAAGGCCGAGGATCTTTTTGGGATTACACAGTTTTTATTTGCAGTGGACCGAGTGGCTCTCGTATTTTGCTCAGAACAAAGTCTGACAAAGTTCTTCAGTGGTGGTGGAGCTGTATTATTAGTGATTTTGAATATAGTTCTTAGATTATTATATAGAATTATATTGTCAAAACTGAGCAGTTTGAACTTACTCAGGATATTGCAATGATGATAACGAAGTGGTTTTTTGTCAAGTGTCTTTAAAGCCTGATTGTACACAGATCTGAGTGGTTTGAGCGTGGTCTCCTTTGCCTGCGACCAGCTAGATAAACAGTAAGTAAAGTGAGGAATTATCATGGCGTTGAAATAAGTGAAAGCCGCCTCGACTGTCAGGCTGTTCCTCATATGCTTTAGAGAGGAAATGTTATATTTAATTGTGTTGGTTACTTTTTTAACATGCTTTTTGAATGTCAGTGTTTGGTCTAAATAGAGCCCTAAGTATTTTGTTTCCGTTACATTTTTTAGTGCCTCTCCATTTACATATATGTTAGGCATCTCTTTAGTATTATTTATTTTATGAAAATACATGCCAACTGTTTTACTAGTGTTTAATGTCAGGCATGAAGATTGGAGCCAATTTTGGATTTTGTCCAATACTGAAGACAACTTTGAGGCCACTGTCTGCATATCCCTTCCATGTGTGAAGATGACGGCATCATCTGCATACATAATTATATCCAGGTCTTTGCACACATCAGGGAGGTGATTTATATAAATGCTGAACAGCAAGGGCTCCAGGATTGACCCTTGTGGGACCCCGGTTGTGCAAGGTTTAAAGGAGGATGTTGCATTATTTGTTCTCACACACTGCACCCGGTCAGTAAGGTATGACTGGAACCACTCCAGTCCTTCACTGGATAGATTACACTGAGCAAGCCGGGACAGGAGGACACAGTGGTTTACCGTGTCGAAGGCCTTTCGTAAGTCCAAGAACACGGCACCCACCGTGCCCCCCTTGTCCATGCCGGCCCTGATGCTCTCTGTCAGGTAGCAGCAGGCAGCATCAGTGGAATGATGTCTGCGAAAACCGAATTGCATTTGATGCAAAACATTATTATCGTTTAGATGTTCCGTTAACTGCTCTATGATTACTTTTACACGCTATTTGACTTTGCACACGCAGTTGATACATAAGAAACCACATGTTTCAAATGACTCCATCTTCTTTAACATTCTTTAACAACAGCAAGACAAAGAAAACACTTTTACTTGAAATCCAGATAAATGTTGTGTTAAAGGTTATGTTAAGTTATTCAAGTGATGTCTTACACGTATTAGAGCTATTATTTCAGAGATGGTTCAAACACAATTACACATAATGGAGATGACTTAATGTACAGTACAGAACAGCAGCGTGTGTGTGTGTGTGTGTGTGTGTTTGTTTATGTTTTAAACTATTGATCAGCAGTGAGTCAGCAGAGTGCAGAGCTGCTTCAAACTGCTGGATCAGTGCTGATAAACACACTACTTCTACTTCTGTGTGTGTGTGTGTCAGAGAGAGTGTGTGTGTGTGTGTGTGTCAGAGAGAGTGTGTGTGTGTGTGTGTGTGTGTGTGTGTGTGTGTGAAACAGCATGGCACAGTGCACTATGTTTTGCCTGTTTTCCTAGAGTTCATACAAACACACACACACACGTCTCACAGACACGTATGTCTCTCACACACACAGGTACAGACACACACACAAGTCTCTCACAGACATACACACACACACACATATACACACACATCCACCAACACGTCTCTCACAGACACACACACAGACAGACATACACACACACACACGTCTCTCACAGGCATACACACACACACACACACACACACGCAGACACACGTCTCTCACAGGCATACACACACACACACAGACACACGTCTCTCACAGGCATACACACACACACACACAGACACACGTCTCTCACAGGCATACACACA